AAAGTATAAAATAAGTTTGATCAATTTTACTGAAGCTTGGTAAAAATCTTTAAAATATTATATCACAATTATTATATTTTCAGGGTAAATTTTAAAAGAAAATTCTCTGTACATAACAAATATTATTATTAATAAATATATATATTAATAAATTAAAATACATGTAGGTAAGTATATTGTTTATAAACATTATATTTTTTACTTTTTTATAAGGAAATCACGTCGTGCCCATTTTTACATGTTATTCGTCCAAATCCTGTATACATATGCATAGAGATTTTTGAAAATTCCTGTAAAAAATTACATAATACGACTTATATCTTTGTGAATGTTAATGAGCATAAAATATGCGCACGGAATTGTAACTCTTCTCACATATAAATTCATCATTCGTAAATGCTCTTTTTTTTCTTCGCATTTGCGATTGTGAAGGCAAGTTATTTAAAGATAATTTGTCTGCTAATGAATAAGCGATGGTAATGATAATGCATCTGGGATGTCTTTTTTTTTGTTTTTTAAAGTCGTTCAGTCATCTTCATATTATGTGTGCACGGGGAAGGCCGTGGAATAATAGAGATATTGTCTATCTGGCAATGTGTTATTCTCTATCTTATAATGGTACAGACTATCGTAAATCTCGTAAAACCGGTGTACAGGTATTATACTGGATTATGTCATACGATCTTCTTGTGCCTCTATTTTTATACGCGCGATGCATGCAACGGAAAAACAGTATGAGTCGCTATTAATTATTTTTACTGGAAAATTATATATGCGTTACATTGTTTGTTACGTTATACATATATAACATGTATATATAACATAGTTTATATTTGCAAATGAAATTTTATATTTAATTTATATTTAAGAGAATATTTTATCTTCATTATACGTGTATTGCGTTATATAATTTAATGCTTTTACATATTTCCTATACAATGTTTATTTGTTTGTTTTTTACTTATATAACATTTATTAATTGACAAAAATTATATAAAGGCATTTTATAGTATCATGTGCTGTTGAATAATAAATAAACAAGATTTTATAACATGAGAAAATGAAACATAACAATAAAATACAATAATAAAATTTGTAAATGACTTGTTATGACTTACTATATATTTAATATTATTAACGCAGACGATACATCCTAAAACATAAAAAGTAATTATTAATAATTCCTATATAACTTCTCTACATAGTCCATCTTCTCTCTAATATTATGTGGTATCTCTTTTTCACATTTATATTTGATCATTGAACTTCAATCTTTTCTTTTCATCTTTTCATATAAATATTTTGACAGTTCTTTAGTAATTATATTTTTGTATATATTATTTGGATTTGTTTCACGCGCCCAAATTATGTTTAATAAAAAATCAATATAAATTGCGGAGAAAGTTGAGTAAGAATACTCCAGATATTTGTGCATATCACGTGTCGGATGGCGGTCAGTAAAGTCGCGATAGGGTCAGTGGGACAAAGTCACAATAGTTATCGTCTACTTGCTGCTCAATACAAAGGCTGGACGGCTGAAAGCAGCGTAACGAGAACGAGAGATAGGGTGAGAGAAAGTACGAAGATTGACCGGGAAAGCGAAGGCAGGCGAACGAGGGGAGACTCGAGAATTCTCGATCGAGTTTTCCGCTGTCAGAGCCGGGTGGTGAAATGCTGAATAGGACAACCGAGACAATGGGAATAGTACGTGGGACAATTACATGCCGAGTTTTCCAAGTAATTAAATCGTCGGCCTCCCGTTATGCGAAAGCAGTTTTCGTTCGTGCATTCGTCTAGCGCATCTTCAAATCCTTGATACTGGAAAGATGAGTTGATAATCACACACACAACTACAGTTCTCGCCTCTTAGAATAAAGATAAGGAAGAGTCATGCGTGTTTAATGCGAATAAAGAAGTTATTTATATCGCAGATAGCAATGTAAATAAATCGATAGACTAAATTTTGTCGACATCGCAGATAAAACTATATTTTATGATCTTATGGGTAAATGCATTATCTTGAAATAAATTATTCTAATTGTTTTAATTTAAGAAAGAAAATAATGTTCCGAATGAGTTTTACATAAAATAATTCAAATTTGAAAAAAATCACATTTATAGAGGAGAAGGTGGTGATTTACAGATACTGTTTCCTTTAATATGTCCACTATTGTATATAACGAAATGATTATTTATAGAATTATTTGTTTAGTAGCTCGCCGTTACATTACATATATCATAACCTATACTAATATAATAATACCTATACCAATAGTCATATACACTTAGTCTAACGTTTTTATTTTCAAGTATTTCGAAACGTGTCTAAGGTACATTTTAGCATTTAATTACACTACTTCCTTTATTTAAATTTTTCTTAATAAGTGTATTATCACACGAATATATATATATATATATATTTTTTTTTCATAAGTATTATTTGCTATTTAACATTTTATTTGACTGTATATTTTGAGTTATGCATTTAAACAATAGAATAGCATTTTGATAATGTGGTCCTATGTATATTGATTACTCATGGCCTCTTTTTTTTTAGATTTTCATATCAAAATAATTGATAATCGATAATTCTGCTGTTAATGTATAGTTTATATTATTTGCACTATTTTTAATACTGAGATTTTTAGTACTGAGCAACTAATACGAAGGTCGTTTGAAAAGTTTTGAGGAACTCAACATGAAAATAGCATTACTCATTAAAATCATTTTGATACTATAATTATACGTGTTTTACAAGATATACTTGTGGAAATTGTAGCCATTTCGGACGCTCAGTTGTTGAGAGTTATTTGTACCAGTCGATGTAAATGTTTTCGTTTTATGAAAATCTGTGTTCTCCGAGCCTAAAATCTGTGTTCTTTGAGCCTAGAAAAAAGTCATTGGAGATCAGATCTGTGAAGATACAGTGGGTAGTTAATTCAAACCGCAATTCGTAAATTTTTGGCAATCATCGATATTCAATTGTTTCTATTTTTACAAAAACACTGACATCGACTGACTCAAACATAACAGAGCGTCACAATGGCTACAATTTTTAAAGGTACCTTGCAAAATGTATGATTGTAGTACTAGAATGGTTTTGACGTAATGCCATCTTCATGTTTCAAACGACCCGCGTATATACAGAACAAATTATATATACATATATACATTTATTTGCATACATTCTGATTCATGTTTTGCTTTTATGTTAATTTTGTAACCAAATACTGCTTTTTTTTAAACAAAACTAATTTTTTAAATTTATTTTTTTGTAGGAGGCCACATTACCATCCTTGTTTCTTTTCAAGTTATTAATGCAGTGTCGCCACATTTTTATAAAATGTCCTATGTAATAAATATTCCATAACTATGAGTTTAGAATTGATTGAACAACATTTTGAGGAATTATTACGTTTTAAATTTTGATTATTAATCAAATTATTGTATAAAATGTAAATAAGGAGTGGTAATACCACATCATCTCCTCTAATAATTAACATTTGAAAAATTCACATTTAAAAAAAATCACAAGATTGCATTAACTAATTACGGATTGCATATAATTGTAATAGACCATCAACTTGCATTACGAGAGAGCGTGAGCGATTAGATCACAATTTTAATTTTTATATGATGTGTCACGAAATGTTAATGAAAGATCGAAACGTTTAACATTTTATTTTATTATTGTTTATTTTATTTTATTATTGAAGGCATTATTTTTTTTAAAACTAATGTTTTTCACATTGACATCCAGTGTAAGCTATGTTCTTTACAGCTAATTACTTTAGTTGTGTATGAGCCGTTTCTATTTGTTAAACACAAACAAATAATTTAATTTTCCATTCTAATAAATTCGGTTTGAATCGCTGAATACTCGAATCTGTGCGTTCTTTACGCGAAATAAAAAAACTATGTGCCAGGAGAATGAAGGGAGGAGCAAAAAGGTCAGACTGATTCACTTGGGCCATCTCGCCGATGGCGAAATAGCATTTAGGGTAAAAGCGTATTCGGGGAGCGGTCGTCGAGCTTACACCGACAAAGTGGACACAACATATACGTTTTGCAAGTCCGAAATTTCCCGATTGATTGAACAAGAATTGTGTCCTGCCTGTATCGTCTCGATTCTAATTGCTGAATATCAGCAATTTAATTCGCTGTTTTAAAAGTTAACGATGATGTATCTAACGATGATAAGATCTTTTTCTAACCAACTTTTTAATCGTTTAATTAGCATATAATAAATAGAAAAAAAACACGTAATCTCAAAGGCAATATATCAAATGGGGAATACCGGGAAATAAAAAATTATTACAAATGACGTATTTAATGAATTACTGCAGATCTGAGTGTTAAAGTAGATAGCAGATTTATACAGAGATTTACACAGAGATTGCAAATATTTTTTTCAGTTAATAATTTCTGAAACTCATGCACTAATGAATCTAATTGTAAAACAATTTTCCAATTGCACTTGGAAACTATAAAAAAAGGTAAAATAAAGATAAGAACGTACATAAAAAAGATGATTTTGTAGGGTATAGGATATAAAAATTTAATTAGATACATCTAAATAATTTTGTTGGCCAAAAAATAATTATATAGAACATTCAAACTAATTGCTAGAATGTCAAAATTTTTTGCAGCATTGCTCTTCATACTCGAAATTCTTATGTAATTGTGATAATCTAATAAAATTATTTTCGGATCTATATCTAGCTAAATTTTTAGATCATATAGTGAAATCATTCTTTTCATATTGCAATAAAAAGTAATTATATGCTATCAAGAAGAAGTTCTATTAATTTTCTCACACTATGTTGAAATTCTGAATAAAGTTGTTAATGATAATGAATGTAGTTTTTATATGTATGCATAACCGCAAGATCTGTGCTGACGCAGTAGAATTAAAGAGAGACAATAGATATTATTTTTTAAAACAAACTGCTGACAAGGTCTGCTAATAAAGAGGTGAGTATAAAAGCGCAGTATGTTTTGCCGGTAAGATCAGTTCATGAAATAAAGTGTAAGAATTTAAGTTAATCATGTCTCGCGTTAGTTTCGTATTGTTTGTGATGATTGGAATGCTTTGCAGTAAGTTTTTCGCATAAATTCATTGAGTTTCTTTAGTCCACAACTAATTCGAGCTTTCATAAACAATTTTTGTATTTTATTTCCCTTTTTTAATTGTACTAAATACATTAAAACTTTAATGTTATAATTGAACTTGACTTATGTAATACTGTATGCACAGGCACAATTATCGCACAACCGCAGTGCGGGAGAAATCAAGTGTGGAACTCTTGTGGATCGGCATGTCCACCATCTTGTAATTCGCCATCCAATCAAATTTGCACATTAGTATGTATTATTTAATTGTACTAAATACGCTAATTCCATTGAAAGTTTTACTTCTTTTCAAGCGATTAATTGTAGAATATTATAATATCCTAATCATATATCTACATTGCAATAAGATTTTCGATATTTTACAATACTATTCTTTTTTTAGCAATGCGTGATAGGATGCCAGTGTAGAAGTGGATATGTGCTAAATTCCTCAGGAGAATGTGTGCACCCTTCACAATGTTAGAAATTAATTGTATCAATTGTATATACTTACTAAAGAGTTGACAACTTCTGTTTAATGCCAATGAGATTTTTACTAAACATTTTTAACTACAAATCGATATGCCAATAAGTATTAACATGTAGCATTACACATTAGATGTACGACATAATTATTGTTGTTTGTATAATTACTAATTAATAATAAACAAATAACAAATTAAGATTTTATTATAAATATTTATCTCTCTATTAATATTAGATATCTATATTTTTATGTAAATTTAAAATAATTAAAAATAAAAATTGCATGATAATAATTTTTTTAAATATATTTTTTAAATATAAATAGCAAATAATTAAATTGCATGCATGTATCTTATAAATTTTCTTTACAACAAAAAAACACAATAAATTGTTTTTTTACAGATAATTAATAATATTATGTAAATGTTATATTAAGTCAATACAAACAATAAACTCTGTAAACCAGTCTCGAATAAAAATATTTTTATGCATTCAGTATAAAAACGAGAAAAATGCGAGAAGTCAATATGATAAAACTTTTTGTGAGAATACTCACAATACTTAATTTTTACTTTCACTTTTTTGTAATAATATTTTGCACTAATGAATTTACGAAAGTTAAGCATTTTCGCAAAATAGTAAATAAAAAAATGTTAAAGAATCAATCATTTATTTCAACTTTATAAAGCTTATTTGTAGATAGATTATAGGAAAATTTTATAATATAAGTTTTAGAATGATTTTTTTTATTTGAAGAGTAAAGGAAAAAATGACGTAGAAGATGACATTTATTTTTTTCACTTCTTGTCAGATTTCTAAGAAGTGGACGTACGAAGATTCGTACGTCAATGCTGTTTAAATAGTAAAAAAAAAAAATTTCATGGACAGGTTTCACGGAATAAGATATTAGCAAATATTGAACATACATGTTAAGAGAGATGCCGCATACAAATGCAGTAATATAATTAGTTATCTGCATAGTTATTATACATAAAATGTATTATTGTTTAGAATAATTTTTTCTTTATACATATAAATGTGCAAGAATCAATTTTTATGCAAACATGTAAAATTAAAGAAAATTAATTTTGATGTGTTATCCTGTATGCAATCATATTTATCTACATGAAGAATACATTTACAAATGCGAAAAATAATATTATTCACATACGTATGCGCACAAGCAGAAGACATTAATTATTTAGTGAAGATCAACAATAAGTTCTTAAAATTAATATTATGAAAGGAAATAATTATCAAATGATGGATGTGATGAAACGTGCCTTTCAATGATTGAGTATATATACTATATGTACATTACGTATTTGTTATATTCAAATTTTAATTATACTTATATAGGAAAAATATGAAAATTCTGTCTTTATATTTTATCTCATAATGTGAAATAAATCAATCATATATTGCCTGATAAAAAGTCACCATTTTATAATTATCTATTATTATATAATATTAAAATAAAAATATGATAAGTATTAAACTGTAAAAAAAAATATATTAAAAACCTTTAATATAGAAACATGAGAAAGTATGTGTCTTATTTTTAGATTATGGGAACATCTGTCGTTTATAAAAATGTATTATTAATTTATTAATTTACTTATAATATAAATGACAATACTGCAATATTGATGCAATATATTCAATTATAGATTACTTCAATTAAAAATAATCTGACTTATATAAATAATCAGTTATTATTGAGATCATTATAAAAGCGATGAGTAAATTTCTTATCTTATCTTTATTTATTACATGTGTTGTTGATTTTAGGGAAATTTATTTTACTATTTAAAATAAATATTTGTAAATTATTATAATAAAAAAAAACACTTAACACACTGAGTGCAATGTTATGAAATATATATATGTTATGATACTTTACGTTTCATTTATTCTTAACGTAATAGATATTTAAAAAAAAAAGTAAAAAAAGGCGCCAAGTATGCATGTACTTCCCATAAAAAACTGTTATATAAGCTAAAAAAAATCTGTTATACAAATAATATAATTCAAGTGATATTCTTAACGTAATAAATATAACGCCACTTATCTAACAACTGAAAAGTTGATATGAAAAGACATGTAAATCTTCATATAATGACATTACGTTTTTTAAAAACAAGATATATGTAATGAGAGCAAATGCTAAATTTAAATAGTAGGAGTTACTCAAAGACATGTACATATATACATGAGAATGCTTTATCTTATTTTTCAAACACAAAATAAATGAAATTGTTTTGTATATGTTACATTTCTATTGATTATTAAATTAACTGATATTTAAATTTAAATATTTACTTAATATTTTGATATTCACAAAATGTCTTTTTTTATGTCTAAACGTGCACTTTTCAAACTAAAGAGAATTGACAATCATTAATAAATAATTAATAGTTAAAAGTTCATAATTACAAATAATAATTGACTTAATCATAGACGTTTGTAAATGCGATTAAAAATTACGTTGAAAATTACGTTGGAGGTAAAAATGAAATTTTTTATCATATTCCTTCTTATCATATCGTGAAGAAATTATTATCGATTAATTAATATTACCTTAGATTAACAACATTTGGTTTTATAAATCTAAGACTTTTAAATTGGTTGAATTACGAACTTACTAATAGGTACAGTTTAACATTTTAAAATTCAACGATTCAAAACAACAGTTTAAAATTCATATCGCACGTTTTGATAACGGACCGAACTTCTGAGCCAGTAGTCACGTATAAAACTGATTGTGAGATGAGAGCCCATTGAGAGAAAGAAGGAAATATGTCCAAAAAATATCTATCTCGGGAGAGACGTGTCGCGGTCGAAGGCCACCCATTATCGTATATATATATATATATATATATATATATATATATATATATATATACATATATATATAAGTTTAGTGGAACGGAGAGCTATCATCAGTCTAGTTCAAGTTGTACGAGTGCAAGCAACACGAATTCGAAGACAGCCATGGTCCGTGCCGTAGTTTTTTTCTTCTTGCTCATTGTGGCAGTTGCCACTATCAGTAAGTTTAACATAATAATAATCAAAATTATTAAATAGAAGTTTTATTACAATTATAATTACAAAAGTAGGATTCCTTATGACAATAATAATTAAATAATGAGTAAGTTGGGCAATTAGGAATCGGCGTTATAAGTGGTACGTTTAAATGATTAAAATTGTTATAATCTAATAATATATTTCTACAATTCAATAACGTATGTTTCGGCTAGATTTTAACCTTCTTCAGCGAATAAATTTCAAAGTGGTGTTTCATTGACTGATGAAACCACTTATAGCGCCGATTTCTAATTACTCAATTTACTCATTATTTAATTTTACTACGATTGATTTTATTTTGATACTATCATAATTTATAATTAATAAGATTGTACAAACATTAGATTAATGCGCAAGATCATAAATAATCGAATCTGTCAAATAAAGATCCAGATAAAGTTACAATGACGTTAAAATGAGATCATAGTCTCTAACTTCATTTCTTTTATTTAAAAAGGAATTTTTTAATCGTTTATTCAAGAAATTATAATTTACATTTATCGAAAAAAAAAATTGGAAAATTTATTTATAATATAAAATCTAAAGAAAAAGAACGAATCTTACAAGATAACCTACTACTTGATCGATTAACCGATTATTAACGGATAGAATTATGTACATTGTAAACGTAGAATAAGTTTTCTATTGATAACAAGTATATATCACTTGATAACAGCTTTACAGAACTTGTTGCAGAAGATATGTTTATGAAGTAAAGAAAGGAATTAAAAATATTTTACATAATAACAATATTTTTAAGAATCTTTATTAAGAACATATAATTAACCTTCAACTATGTTTGTAGGTGCTGCGCCTAATTGCGGTCAAAACGAATATTTCAATAGCTGTGGTTCATCATGTCAACCCACCTGTCAAAATCCAACACCAGAAATCTGTGTCCTGGTTAGTATTGCATTCTCTAAAGAAAAACGTATATTAAAAAATTTGTTAAATAATCTTGTTAATATTTTATAAAATTTTTTTATGTTGAATTTTTATAAATAAAAAGTTTAGTTTAAATTATGTATAAATTTTTTAGTAAATAGAATTTATAACTATATTATACTATTTATAACTATATTATACTATTTATAACTTGAAACTTTAAAATAATCTTGTTTAAATGAATTCTTTGATATATTTATATTCGTTTTATTTTAACAACAAAAAATCCAAAAAACCAGGGCGAATGAGAGTCAGCATGGTTAATAGACAAGTTAATAGACAAATGTAATCTTAGAACTTTATTCCAAAAAATATTTAATACGTTTCGGTTTACTTTGGATTAAAAATCATACTTGGACAATTTATAACTTCTATTGTAAATATATATAGATAGTGATTTTTTTTCTTGACATGAAAGAAGGTATATTTTGAGATTTTATTGCTGAGGATGGTTCCAAAGTGAACCGAAACATACTAGATATTTTTTGGAATAAAGTTCTAAAATTACATTTGCGTACTAACTATCACGCTGATCCTTCGCCCTGATTTTCTGGAATTTTTTTTGTTATTGAATTTAGGAAAGTTCATAAGAAGATTATACTTATTACTATTTGTTTTATTTTGTTTTATAGGCATGTGTTGCTGGATGCGAATGCATGGACGGATATGTAAGAAATGCAGAAGACAAGTGTATACCTATGCACTTTTGTTAATCATTCAGAAAATATGATTTTCCGACGAGTATGTTTCGCATCACATAAAATGATATATAAATTTAATAAGCATTAAAAACTTTTTCACAAATTAGATTGTTATACAAATCTGTAATTATACTCATTAATCTGAACAATTGTAGTGTATTAAATAAGTGTACTGAATTGTTTAATTTTGTAAAGCTAAATTGAGTTTCATGTTTTTAATAAAAAAATTGAAAACATAAAAAACTTTATCTAGAATCCTACATGTATCCATGACTACGAATTTTATTAATACATAAACATGTAACAATTATACACTTTAAATTTAAAAAACAAAAATAATATATACATGAGAAAAGAAATAAATAGGAAACTAAATAGTAAAGATAAATGACAACTTTTTCATAATTCTCAATAAAGAAATCATAAATAATTTTCTCTTATGGAGAATATAAATATATACTGTAATAATTCTACGTATATACATGTATATCAGATAATTATTCGATAATAATTCTGCATAATATTAATACTCATCTCGGAAAAGATAAAAAAAGATGTATTTTTAAATGTACCTTTTAATGTACATTTGTATCTTTTAAAAAATTAAATCTTATATTTGATAAGAAATCTGTGAACGAAACATTTAAGTAGACAATAACGAGATAATAACGAGAACATAGAAAAGATAGATGTAGATTATATTTTTGATAATTATAAGGCTTCCGGTCATTTTAGTTATAATTATCACACACATCCTGCACCGAATAAAATATTATCAAGAATTATAATCTGTTTTCTTATATAATAGCAAAACATTTTTAGTCTATGTATTCATGACATGTAGCAATATGAAAGTTTATATACATCTCTTTCTGTTATTATATTAAATAAAAAAATTATTAAGTTAATATGTTCTTAATAATTAAAAAAAATTAATAAAAAGAATCAGATTATAATAATATTCGAAAAGAGATGTTTTGTTATTTCTAGTCAGATATTATCAGATTATATTTAATATCGATGATTTCGATATTTAATTTTAATATTTCTCATAAATTTACAGAAATGTATTGTATTTCTATATTTGCAATTCCTACAAAGCAAAGATAACGGAATAACGTATGAGATAAGTGCCTTCTAGATAACTAAAACTCTATAATCTAGGTTAATACGTTTTTGCCGCATTGAGATAATTTCCAAGAAACAACAATAGTGAATGACGTATATTAGTGTTTTATTGCCGCTTGTACAAAGATCAGATGGTCAAAGAATAGAAATGAAACTTCCGTTGGGTGATCTATCTTTATTTTGTTATTAGTGTGATTTTGCATTCGCACGATTCGAAAAACCAACGTTCTGCATTGATAGAAAGGATTTTATTAATTTAACAAATCACCAGTATCTTTAATCGGTAATCGATAAATATGTGACAAATTTTGTTGTGATTGCTGCTAGTCTGCTATATCAACCAATTATTAGTAATAGAAGCAAACTATATAGAATCTAATCCATCTATTAGATAATCTTTAGATTCGTTTATATAGAATTTGTAGATGATTGTGGAGTCTTAAGTCGTAGGAAACCGATCAAGAACGTCTAATATAGGGAGAATACTTGACTAGAATCAATTTTTTACGATTTGAGATTTTGCAATCGTCTATGTTCTTGATATATATATATATATATATATATATGAGGCTCTTATTTGCTAGCAATACTATTGATTATTTATTACATTGACGAATTAATTTGCCATTGTTGCCAACAAATTAATCGTTTTTTAAACAAATATCACATTTTCTTTCCTTGATTTGTTCCAAAATTATTTCTCTCAGTGTGCCTTGTTCCGCGAGCAGTCATGTGACCCGTCTCCTAAGAATCTGTTTATCTCTCGGTTGCTTGAAACAATTTCATTAAAATTGACGCCATTTTCATTTAAAATTGACGCCATTTTCTCTTCTTATCAAATCAACTTACAAATAGCATATGCTGTTTGTGTCTACATTCGAATGGTCAAGCTCGTATCAATACTACAACAAAAAAATAATATGCTGTGAGGCACTATAATTTCTAAAGTAATCTAATTATATATCATTTAAATTTCTTAGCAGATGTTAATCTCTTAGTCTGCCGTCCGCGATACAATTCGTGTGTTTTTCTTTTTTTAGCGTTCAAACAGCTTTGCGCGGAATTAAATTTTTACAATATGTCACGTACATGCTATCTTCTCCGAATACTTTCACTTAAAATGTCGTTTTACTTGGATTGCAGCTGTGGTAGCGGCGATACATTCGCCATATTATAAAATGTTTCTAAAAAACGTGACTCATGAAAAGCGATACAAAAATTACATTTCATTATTGATATCGTGATAATATGCTTTACGTAACAATATCACAAAAGTTATACGAACGATATATATCTGAAGAATAATCGCATATTTTAGATATTAATGCATTGCATAGAATAAGATTTTGATATCAATTAAAATACTGTTCCATTTAAAAAAGCTTTATTTTTTTATGTTTATGTATTGTTGAAATTGTTAATATATTTTTCTCATCTCATCTGATGCGATAATCGCAAATTTAATTATGCACAGTTTACATACTTGTATGTATGATAATGATAACAATTTAATATTAATCGTATTATGCAGAAAGCGTGGCAAGCATATAATATTTGCAAAGGAATGCGACTTTATAAGTCATTTTAACATTCTTATTATTTTCAAAATAAAAAGTAAATAGAAATAATAAATGAAGATTAAAAGTCAAATTAAAGACATTTAATGCATTAGTAGCAATAAAAAATTAATAAAAAAATATAATCGTAATGGGACAATGTCACATCCTTTAATTTAATATAAGTTCCAATCCTAAAATCGGATTAGTCGCATGACCGATTGTCTTTATTAATTAAAGACGTAGTTAATATCTTATTAGGTATCTTATACCCTCGTCATGATCCTCTATTCCTCAACCGACAGTTCAGAAAACTGAATTCCGTAAAGCAATTTGTCATTAATGGAATTAAGCAGCGCATTATTATGTGATTCACAGGCAGAGAATTTCGTGAATTAACTAATGTCGTGCTAATGTGTTAGTAAATAATCTAATCTACGAATTGATTTTTAATATTGAGAGACTGATTCACAATCAGTTTTGCAGTAGCACTGAGAAAAGACATAGGTGTAATAGAATATGAACAATGGAATAACTTTTCAAATAATAACTTTTTCAATAACTTTTCAAAAAATTGAATGACTTTTCAAAAATTATCAATGATCATCACAGAGATAATAAATAAAGCTCACGCTAATTCTAGAATATAAATTTTACGCATTACAAATTTTATTTGTCAATAATATAAATCTTATGTACAGGTAAGTGAGATCATTAAACGCTAAGCTATCACTTCAATGATCAAGAGATCCATCTAAAACCTATATATATATATGCTAAAACCTATATAGGACAAGCAGTGACAAGCTTTTAAAAATTCTGGCCTTTATTATGATCCAATATTATAACATAGAGCAATGTGACAAGTTTTAATTTTTTTAATTTTGCGTTATATTTAAGTTTTATTTAAGTATATGAAGACGCACGCACACACGCACACACACACACCACACACACACACACACACACACACACACACACAAAATTGAACTACATATTTCATATCATTTCTAAATCAAAGTTGATCGTTTTTATTCTTTCTTTTCTTTTAAATTAATAATTAGGTTATTTGTGTTTATAAAGATCTTATAAATATGTTGTCATTAAAAATGTAAAAGGTATAAAAAATGTATATTACATTAATTAAGAATGGCCTATTTTCTTATACGTGAAATTTACATATCAATAGCAATACTATACTTAATAGCATTATAGGATTAACGTCAATGAATCTTGCTTTGGAAGCTGTATCAGTTATACTGAATCATGTTATGCCACAACATGATACAATAATATACAATTATTTTCTTTAAGGAATATTGCATGTTTCGCTATCCCGAAGAGAACAAACATCTGACATATGATGAAGAATGGCGCAATATCCAGTTCATTCCTTCAGAGCAGATATTTGACATTCGGCAAATACCATGAACGACGTACGTGGCCATCGTCCCATTGCTAACGTCTCAAATCGTAGTCGAGAACCCTCGGAGAGATCTGAATCGTCAGTTTTAGAGGGAAGCATACGATGGTGGGTGATCAACAAGAATGAAGGGAGAGAAGAGGAAATTCGAAGCATATTCGGCTACCGCGTTTCCGGTTGGTCGATTCAATATGCCGGACCGATAAAGCCGAATGTCGACCGGGCAGAGACAATACGACGTTCGAGATGAGAATGAAGGGAAAACGTTTCGCATAGCTGGTCTGTTGTCGGCGTACAACTCGCCGGGGATATGCGAATGAGGCTTTAATATAGAAGATTTGCTGCGAGAGGAAGATAATTTCCAAGCCATTCACTAACTTATAGAATCAATTATTTTCATCAACTGTATAAGACTTGAAAAAAAATACAATAATCACATTTTTATTTAATTATGTTTTATAGTTTTTAAAATATAATTGATAATATATAATAACTTATGTGACAAAAAGTGAGAAATCTTATAAAAGTTGAGAAATGTTAGTTATTACCTGCCATTGCAATATATAATATTATATGTATTTATGACTTGAAATGAATGACTTTTAAATTGCAATATCATATTTCATTTTTATACTACGCAACGTTTGCACAGTCTCTGTTAATTTTGAGCAAAAAATTGCATGTATACAGAAAAAATAAAATACCATGATTATCTCTTTTATCTCAGCTCATGCAGATGAAACACAATCACAAATGAAACACAAATATTAAATGAAATTACAAGTTCGAATGAAATTTTAATTCCCATTGATGTATAACATGGGAAAATGATTTAAAGATAAAAAGACGCGTTTTTTCCAAGATGAAAAGCCTGGGGGACTTGATTCATTGCATCCGATAGTCCCATTTCTCCACGAAGATTTAATCTATTCCGAGTATTGCAACCCAATCGAGGTCTACCGTGGATCAGAATTTACGTAAATCGAAAAGTTTCATAATGGAATTCACAAATCTCCGCGATTTGATCGTGTGTCTTATACCCAGACAATCGTCTGGGAAGAGATGATTGTCCCGACGTACCATATATGAACCCAAAAATCAATAATTTCAAGAATATTCAGAATATCACATAAGCG